AATTTGAAATAAACAAAATGAATTACATTGTTGGATTGGTATTGCAAACAAGAGAACAGGTCATTAGCGATAGACTAAATCCCTAGCTAACTTACAAAATTAGCTAACATCATTTTTGCTAGGAAAATAACCGTAGCAACCTTTTGTAGCTAATACACTCTTAGCTAAAATTTTGCTAGGAAAAACGTTGTTAGCCTAGCTAATTTAGCTAGAATATTTTTCTAAGAAACATATCCAAGCAAATAATAGCTAGGATTATTCCCTAGGTAACTTCATAGCAAAAACAACTCTCTTTTGCTTGGATATTTTTTAAGCTAATATGTAAATATCCTAGCTTTTTCTTGGCTTGATTTGTTATGTTTTCATGACCCCTAGCTTACTTTTAGAAGTACAAACCAAAAATTACTTAAGTTTCACATATCATGAAATAAATAATTGAATCCATTCAAATTACACTAATTCATTAACTATACTTGTGCATTATTTGCACAACCAATTTCAAAATGGTATGTCCTTCAGAAATGAATAACATGTATACAAATAAAATCGAACATATCTGAAGTTTAAAAAACATAAAAATTAGCTCCATGTCAACTTAAGCTCAAAAACATCAACATATGCTCCTTGTTGGCATTGTCCTCCAACTTAACGTCTCCAGCTCCATTTGTTGGCATGTTTCTTCAAATTTAATGTCTCCTTATAGTACTTCAATACCAATTCATCCCTGGGTGTAGAAATCCCATCAACCTTCTCCTTAATAAATTTTTTATAAATGTGTTCTGAAAAAAAAAGATAATTAGTCATTTTGAATAATAAAATAAATCAAATAACAAGTAAAGAGACATAAATAATTTGAACTAAGCAAATTGGTTTAATGACGTATACATTAGATTATTTTATAGGTTTTAACAGAAGAGGAATGACACATTATTAGTAAAAGGAATCAAACACCAAAAGATTAAATACACCAACGAGTATACTACTAAATTTTTATTGAACATTTAGGCTATAATGTATGAACAAAGAAGATTTTTTGGGAGGCTTTCATACCATGTAAACTCACACGAGTTTTATGTTTTTGTAAACTTTTTGACTTTGGATAATGAAAGGATGAAAATTGTTTATTTAGAAAAACAATAACCATGTTTTTGGTTCACATGGATATCTTAAGGATGTACTTCAATTCTTGGGTATACCTTGGGAATGTTATTGGCCAAACATTCCATTTTAAACAACTTTCCAGAATAAAAAGTCAGCACCATTCCATACCCCATCATATAGAGAAACTTCTTTTAATTTTGGACAGAAGTATATAATTAGTCGGATAGCATATTCTCAAACATATTAAAGAAAGACACAATATATAATATGCCCTTTAACTTAGCTTGAGGTGGCATCTACACCCTTTAATTTTTTGTCTGCACAAGTAAACACTTAAATTTGTATAAAGTTGAATAAACTTGTAAACGCGTCTTGCATGATATAATACACATAGGACACCATGTATGATGATGTGTAGGATGCGAATTGCTATGTAGGACGCCAAGTAAGACGCATGCGTTTACTTGTTCAGCTCTATATAAGTTGAAGTGTCTGCTTGTGCACAACCAAAGTTGAAGGGTGTAGACGCAAAATGAAGCCAAGTTAAAGGCATGTTTATGTATTATTCCATAAATAAAATAACTATTATCACGTCTAGTTCCTACTAATTACCGAATAAGGACTAGAATAACAAGTACTTCCATTAAGTAAAAACATAGTATTATCAGTATATCACCAAAACCAAAGCACATCAAAATAAAGCTTAGCAGAGATGCAAATCAAAAAATTTATGTAGTGGCAATAAATATTAACTCCTAAATAAATTGAACCATAACCTAAGTCCTTGAAATGAGAAACACAAGTGACAGTCAATCCAAATCTAAAAACAAAAGTAAACACCATTCATTCTGCAACTCATATTAATTTTAATTTAGTTTACTTTTCTACATCCTTATTAGGAACACTAAATGCTTACCAAGCCCTACATTAACTAACATAATTACTACATAAAATCTATACAACAAAGAAACAAGTTAAAGAAGTACAAGGATACTATGAGCACAAGAAAAGAAAAATTTCTATGATATTTGATCAAACATTTTATAATGAAGCAGTAATTCAACAATAAATAATTTAAATACACTAAGAAACAAACTTAATTATTGTTAGGCCACGGCTCCAATGCTCCTTGACATATGCTCCCATTCTTGTTATGTTTGGATTGAGGAAAACCTTTTGTCCTAAATCCTTAGTTGTACGGACTCTTCACTTTTGATGTTGCACTCATATCAGATTCTCCAAAAATACTCTACTATTCGTTTCTGTTCAAGAAGTCCAATTTGCAAGCCTGACATGAGGCTAGGGAGATTCAAGAAATATTGAACATCACTAAAAGACTTGGCTACATCGTAGTATAGCACATAAAAGAACTATATAAGATAGAATCAAACACATAATAGAGAAATTGAAGAAAAGTGCCACTAGATGGGGATTCCTTGGACATACCGATAATCATCTGCATCAAAAGTAGGCGAGACATGAAAATTTGAGGATGTCCCAACATTTTCCGTCATTTCAAAGTGTGAGGACTGACCAAAATAATTATCTAGTCCATAATAACTTGGAGCAATATTCCTATCTTGCTGAGGTAAACCGCTACAAAATATATAA